TCTTTTGTAATGATGACTAGCCCAATCACACTTTGGAGGGTGGAATTAATGTAAGCCTCTGCCAACAAGGTGGGCTATTTGCACTTAGTGTAAATAGACACTCCGATTTTTTATTTTTTTTTATTCCCAACAGTTAAACAGTTAAAGTTGCCCACAGAAAAAACACGGGGTGCTGCTGCAGCACCCAGCACACCCACTTCCCGCACCTATGCTGTCTGTCTGGTACAGTATTTTCTCTGCTTGCGCGACTATTCTCTCCTCTTTGTGTCTGTCTTCAGTACATCTGTCTTACAGATACTATATCATGATGATCATTACGTTTGTGTTACCAAATTGCAACCTGCCCGCGTTGTTTTTAACCTGGTCGTTTTTGATTACTGTCAGTTTAAATGCCGGCGTTGCCAGATATTGAAAAACAAACAAAACAATCTAAAAATAAATAAACCGCAATGAGTCCAAATCTTGAGTTATGAGTTAATATAAAGATATCGCTGTCCCTAACTTGCAATCTCCCACTTTATTCACTTCCTAAATTAAGTGAAAAAAAAAAATCCATAGACGCTTATAATACGTGTATCTGGCAACACGACTGAGGAGGAGTCTCAATCACAACTCAAGGGACGAGGCCATGTAACCTTTTCACGATGATAATATATATATTTTTTTAATCCAAATAGCTTGCTGAAATACTTATGCGGCCGCCTCATCTACGTCAGCCATGATCATGACCTGTCCCGGTGACCCTGATCGCGCCTGACCTGCCTTCCGTTTCCATTATACGCCTTCCGTTTCCACTATACTCTCTCTCACACGTACATACATTCTTCTCTTACATACAGATATTTTCTTCAGACATACATACATTCTATATATATGTATGTGAAAGGAGAATGTATGTGTGTGAGAGTAGAAATGTATGCATGTGAATGGAGAATGTAAGTGTGTGAGAGTGCCAGAATGAATTATGGCTTGTACGGCCCCTCATAAAACTGCAAAACTATTATATATATATATATTGTATTTCTAATTAGCTTTAATTTATTTTTAATTCAGTTTTAGTACTTCAACTTAAACATATTATTTAATTTCATTTAACAGCAAAGGCAACATTTCTAATTTTCATAAAATATTTTTAGGTTGAAGTTTTTCATCTAATAATTATATTTTATTTCAGGTATATTTCAATTAAAGAAAATTATTTTTAATACTTTTAGTTAACAAGCTGATCCTGATCTCACAACCTGACCTATTATTGATTAACTTTGGAATTATACATGAAATGTAATACTGAAAAAAAAAAAAAATAGACTAAAGTTTGAAAAGTTTGCGTTGACAAAAGAGGGTTCCAAATTTAACACAGAGCAATAACATCATTGCCTTATTAGCATTTTGATTATTTTTAGAACTTTCCTCTTCCTCACATTTCATCTATAACACTCACTCATGTTTGACTCCTACGGTCCACTGCAACTATACTGTAAGAGTCTGTTTCCCTCAGACTTGTGTGCATCTCTCAGACTGCTGTCTGTCACTTTAAAGTGAAAAAGTATGTCACTGAATCATCAGCAGGGTGAAATTAGTCTGCTAGACCGACCAAGACGTCTACACACCAACACACACTCACAGACTCCTTATTTTCATCCATCCAGGCATCTTGTGACACACACAAACCGTAACCTATGTTCTCACACACCTAAACTTAAAGCAGTCGTGAGGTTTTGATGAGTCTATTGTGTCAAGCGCTGGTGCCATGAGAGACAAGGTGAGGAGGATTTGAGCTTCTGACACACACTGAGGTTTTTGTCGGTGCTCTGGGGGGATGAAAGCCCTCTATTCATGTGCCCCTGAAACAGCTTCTATTGAGCATGTGTGCGAGGAAGCAGAGGGGGTGGTATATAAGCGCGTGTGTGTGTGAGCGTGCAAGAGCTTTAAAAGGGTTCTAGAGAACTTATAACCACGTGACCCAGTGGAAAAAAACCCTCTGGTGGATTTTAACATTTAGGTGTCCTAAAAACCCCCCAGAACTGGTGTCACATGAACACAAAAATGAGCAATTCGGCGTGCATCATCGGATATGTATCAGAATTCTGAATTTCTTCTCTGCATTATGTGGTTATTAGTGTTTTTTTTCACTAATTTATTTAAAGCAGGGGTTTATAACTGGGGTTCACAAATGGGTGCAAGATGGCCCACAGAAACGTTCAGAGAAAAAAATATTAATTAATATATAAAATTAAATTAAATTATTGAATTCAATTAAAAATAAATAAATAAATACATACATACATACATACATACATACTGAACTTCCCATTATTACTCGTGTATTCTTTATTCTAAAGACTGGTCCAAAATCGTGATATTAATCAGAACTATTTTATTCCATTGTTTTATATCTAGTGGTACTGTAAAGCTGAGTAGAAACAGACCTTTTTTTTTTTAATAAAATGCTATAAATAGGTTTTAAAATATTATTTGGAAAACTTTTCATATACAATATAGTCCTTGCAAAAGGATCATCATATTATCAAAAAACATTTGATAAGAAATCGCTTTTATTATTCCTCATACTTAAAGTTAGGGACTTTTTAAAGCTCTTATGCATGAGTCATCCTGCACATTCCTGCAGACATGGATGAAACCTCAAATCATGCAGCTTGTTGTGCTCTATTATTTTTTAAGTGAGCAGACTAACAATTTTTCCTGGTGGACCAGAAAAATACAATAAAATAAATTTAAAAAAAAGAAAAGAAAAAATAAATCTAAAAATAAAATATATAATAAAATAAAATAAAATAAAATAAAATAAAATAAAATAAAATAAAATAAAATAAAATAAAATAAAATAAAATAAAATAAAATAAAATAAAATAAAATAAAATAAAATAAAATAAAATAAAATAAAATAAAATAAAATAAAATAAAATAAAATAAAATAAAATAAAATAAAATAAAATAAAATAAAATAAAATAAAATAAAATAAAATAAAATAAAATAAAATAAAATAAAATAAAATAAAATAAAATAAAATAAAAATGGGAAGTGCATATTTTAGTTAAAACACCTAAATGAAATTAAATTAAATAAAACAAAATAAAATATAATATAATATAATATAATATAAAATAATAAAATAAAATAAAATAAAATAAAATAAAATAAAATAAAATAATACTTAAGCAGTAAGCAACCACATAACAATGCCCAATGTGGCAAACAACTCGCACTTCTTCAGAAAAGGTACAAATCTTTCTCTCACCTTTCTGAAGATGTTGTCTTCTCCAGTGTCAGGGCTGAGAAATCCATCTGTATCTCTTCCTGAGTCTCGAAATGTGACCGTTTCTGAATTGCAAGTGTGAAACTCTGGATACTGTGAACTCTCTGCAACAAACACACACCGTTTTACACAATGACAGACAAATGTACAGCTACTACAAAAAGCTGTGCTAAAAAATAGCTTGTTTATCTCCAAATAAAAAGTCTCCAAAGAAGTTCTCTTACTTAAACAAAACATGCGATTTCCTCTTCAGAACAGATCTTTGTACAACAGCACATGTATTCACGACAGCGAAGTCTGACAATCTTCATAAGAAAAGTATCCGAGGCATCTGTCAGTACCGTACCGTCGCGTGGGTAACAAAACCATATCACGTGGGAGACAAAACCATCATGATAAACCTCAACAGATTCCATCACCTAGAAAAATACCGCCCGTTTCCCTCCCTCTCCCGCTTTCACTTTCTTCTAGTCTTTCAAAGTGCAACACACTCTCTGTGTAAGCTTAGAGTAAGTGAAGAGAGCGACTGTGAAGGCTGGGATCAGCACTCGGAGATCTGTCACGAGAGTGTGAGCTTTGTCAGCTGTCACACAACACACAGGTGGCTCCATGTTTTGGGATGTGAAGGAGGGGTCTCGCTGGGACCGCCACAGCTGCCCTTTCTCTACGCGTGTGTGCTTTCAATGAACCAATGCTGGAGTAAAAGCAAACGTCATTACCTCAGCTGCAGATAAACAACTGACAACCTAAACACAGGTCATGACAGGCCTCTGAGAAGAAAGTCAGCGTATCGTATCTATAGATAATCCCAGTTATATTTCAGTATTTACAGTATGTTTTTCATATGATTCATCGTAATTTTTAGATGTTAAAAAATGTCTCCTGTCCCAGTACTTGGAAACTGTAAACACTGTGGCTCTGCTGTGCTTTTAAACATGGAAAAATAAAATAAAATAAAATAATACTTTTTGCATGTTAATGAAAATAGAAAAGTAAAAAATAAAAATATTTTTAGCATATTAGTAAAAATTAAAATTAAAAATATTTAAACAAAAATGTACATTAAATGTTTAAAATGTTTATTATATTTTTAGGATGGTTTTAAAAACATTGTACTGTGATGAATCTGGAACCATGAAACTAGAATGTCATTGTCAAAATACAATTTCTCCTGTTCCAGTACCAGTTTACTGTGTAGGGACGTGCTGAAATCGCATTTGGTCTCGTACTGTATCGCGTACCTTGTCAGTGTCGTGCGCTTTGCTTGGCCATTTGTTGTGATAAACAGGAAAGTGTTCAAGCGCCAGCAAAACAGTGTAAAGAAATACTCTTTGTGAGAAGCAGTCAATCAGCGGAAGTTAAAAGCAGCTTGTAAGTGTATTTATTTCTTGTCTCAGTGTTTAGCGCAGTTATCGTTGCTAGGAAACGCTTGTTTTGTTTACTGTGGAGACGTGCTGAAATCAAACCAGAGGACACTGCTACCCCTGCAGCACTCCAATTATTTCTTATTTTCCCACACTCCCCATCTGACTGGAAGGGGTGGAGGTACTGGTCTGCTTATCTCTAATGATTGGAAATTTAATCCTTTACCATCTCTGAGTATCAACAGCTCCTTTGAATCACATTCAGCCACTATTACCCACCCTCTTAAAATCCATTTTATAGTTGTTTATTGACCCCCAGGACCACTAGGTAACTTCGTGGAAGAATTAGATGTGCTGCTCTCAAACTTTCCTGAGGATGGTACTCCCCTAGTTATGCTTGGAGACTTCAACATCCACCTAGATAAACCTCAGGCTGCATACTTCCACACTCTGCTTGCCTCTTTTGATCTCAAGCGAGTGTCAACTACTGCTACTCACAAATCAGGCAACCAACTGGACCTTATTTACACACGACACTGCTCCACTGATCATGTGCTGGTTACTCCACTGCACACCTCGGATCACTTCCTCCTCATTCTTAACCTCAACATGGTTCCTGACACAACACATACCCCTACACATGTCACTTTTCGACGTAACCTACGCTCTCTCTCACCCTCCCGACTATCTGCTATGGTTCATCTTTGCTTCCTTACCCTGAACAGTTATCATCTCTTGATGTTAACCGTGCTACTGATACTTTCTGCTCCACTCTTACGTCTTGTTTAGACACTGTCTGCCCCTTGTCTTCCAGGGCAGCTCGTACCACCTCTTCTGCCCTTTGCCTATCTGATGTTCTCCGTGAGTATCGTTCAAAGCTCAGAACTGCAGAAAGAGTATGGCACAAATCACAAAATCCTACTGACCTTAATGGTTTTGACTGCTTTTATTGTCCTCTTTTGTAAGTCGCTTTGGATAAAAGCGTCTGCTAAATGACTAAATGTAAATGTAAATGTACCTGGAAGTTGCAAACAATGTGACTTTGTGATGCTTTAAAACAAAAACAAGACAAAAACAAAAACAAAGCATTTTTGCCGTTTAACAAAAAAGTAAACAATAAAAAATAAAATAGAATAAATAAATAAAATACAATAAAATAAAATAATTGTTAATGAAAAAAAATAAATTTAAATAATTTAAATACAATTAAAATAAATGATTTTTTATGATGGTTTTAAAAACACTGCCCTGTGACAAAACTGAAACCATGCAACTATAATGCAACATTGTTAAATGTTGTAAAAATGTTTGACGCTTGCAAAGTAGTGATTAATAAATCTCAACCCACTTCCTGCATTGACAAAAACATAGCAGTGATCTTGATATGTGACAAAGTTGTGAGCTCAAGACTGACTCACAAGTCAGAGGAGTCTAAAAAAGCAAGCTATGGCCACTTATGTTCACAATAGGTGAAAAAAAGAAAAACTTTCTGTAGTTTCAGACACTACTGTTGTATTAAAGGTAAACAGTCTTCAGAATAGTTCATAGTTACAAGTATACAGATAAACAATGCCATCATGCTCCTCTATGCAAGCACTTGTTATTACTATCATCTGGTAATTTAGAACCTCAAAATGAAATCTTCTGAAATTAAATGGCTCAGTCTGTGAAGACACACTCGTGTTTACAACGCAAAGTTCCCGCCTCTCTGGGAAGCCAGCCAATCATAACAGAAGTCATTTACATACTGTAATAAAAGTCTTAAAGGTACAAAAACCAAAACAGCCCTTTCAATTCTAATGGTCAGAGAGAGGGTGGAAATGATTTTGTACAAGACACTGTGGCTAACATTACAGTTTAACTGTATACTGCCTACACAGACAGCATCCTAACCGTCAAGGAAGTAAGCACACACGCCATACAAAACACCGCTCATCACATGAAGCACATGAGCAATGTGACTCAACAATGAATCAGAGAGAAAATGACGTTTACATGTTACAACTTATAACATAAGCTCAAAAAAGACAAAAAAAAACATAAAAGCAGTTTAATATAATTAAAAATGGACAGTTTAAAAAAATTGTTTGCTATCAAAACTTTGGTAACACTTTAAAATAAAGTCCCATTAGTTAAAGGATTCACTAAAATGCATTACCAATGAGCAGTTTATTTGTTGCAGTGCTTTGTTTACATACAAAAAATACTGTTTATGGTTAGTTCATGTCAGTTCAGATACATTAAATAATATTATCTGCCACAATTTTTTATTTTAATAATATAATAATAAATGTTGAAATGAACATTAACTATGGTTAATAAATGCTTTAGAAGTATTTTTCATTGTTAGTTTGTTAACTAACGCGGTTATAACTAATGTTAACAAATTATTATTGTAAAGTGTTATCAAAACGTTTTACCAAATACACTTGAATAACTTATAATAATTAAGATATTTTAATGTTTTTAAGTCTTATGCTCACCAAGGCTGCATTTTTTTATTTAAAATACAGCAAAAACATGAATATTTTAAAATATTATTACAATCTAAAATCACTACTTGAATACATATTTTAAAAAGGAATTTATTCCTGTTATGGCAAAACTGCAAAACTGAATTTTCAGCATCCTTGTCACATGATCCTTCAAAAATCATTCTAATATGCTGATTTGCTGCTTAAACAAACATTTCTTATTTTTATCAATGTTGAAAACAGAAACTTTGCTACACTACCATTCAAAAGTCTGTGGTAAGATTAAAAAAAAAAAATTTGTAAATACTTTTATTCAGCAAGGTTTTCAACACGAATAATAATAAGAGCTATTATTAATAATTGAGTACCAATAATAATTGAGCAGCGAATCAGCACATTACAATGATTTCTGAAGGATCATGTGACACTGAAGACTGGAGTAATGATGCTAATATTGATAAGCTAAAATTAAGCCCTTCTAGGTAAATATTAGTATTGATTTACATAACCGACAACATGATATCAGGTCATGGACGTGTGATCTTACCTGTGGATAAGCTGTCTCTCTTCTGGGAAACACTGGAACACAGTGTGTCTTTGTCTCTGTGGATCTGCAGACAGAAAGAGGAAGATATGGTCTTATGCATGTGACTGTATGAATGAAAAAAGCTGTCTGACACATTCAAAGCAACTATAAACATCAGACTGCATGAAAAATTTGATGAGGTTTTTTTTTTTTTTCTTTCATTGCTGAAAAGGTCGACGTAACTGAGGGTTTCTAATGAATGTATGAAGCAAAAGGGAAACAGAAGCAGCAGCTTTGCTCATATGCGCTCAGAGACTGCAGCATATATGAGTTTAGAGCTCAGTCTGTGGTTTGTGGAGCCCATAACAGCTGCATCTCACTCATCACAGACCACACACACCGCCTCACACCGGCCCTGAGGGACGACAGCAGCTTCAGCGATCAGGATCCAATGCGGAGTTGCTCCCCACAAACAAACTACTGCTGGCTGGATTCTAACCAATGATAAAACCCAGCTTATAAAACAGATCCAGCTCAAATAAGATAAGCTAATAAAGCAATACACTGAGAAGCAGTCAACTTACTCCCTTAATCCAAAGTTACGTTTAATTTTAAAAAGGCATTTATGGAAATAAGTAAATAAATACTGACTTGAGATACTTTGAAAGCATCTTTAAGAATGTTTTGAAAGCAATCAGTAATTTTTTTAAATCGTATGCCATAATAAAAAAAATTAAAAGTGCGATTATGAATAAATGGAGTTAAATGTTATAGCTTGCTGCAGTTTTCTTTTTTGTAGGACAATAATGTGGAAAAAAAATAACTTAAAGAAAACGTAACATTTAATGAAAAAAAATTCTAGCAAATATAAATAAATAAAAAATCATTAAAAAACAATGGTAGCCAGTAGAAAAAAAATCTTAATTGTTGCACATTAACTATGGTTAATAAATGCTTTAGAAGTATTTTTCATTGTTAGTTTGTTAACTAACGCGGTTATAACTAATGTTAACAAATTATTATTGTAAAGTGTTATCAAAACGTTTTACCAAATACACTTGAATAACTTATAATAATTAAGATATTTTAATGTTTTTAAGTCTTATGCTCACCAAGGCTGCATTTTTTTATTTAAAATACAGCAAAAACATGAATATTTTAAAATATTATTACAATCTAAAATCACTACTTGAATACATATTTTAAAAAGGAATTTATTCCTGTTATGGCAAAACTGCAAAACTGAATTTTCAGCATCCAGTTTCGCTTTCACAACGAAACACACAGAGACTTTAGTCTTTGCAACTTTACAGATCTTCTTTATGCACCAAGAGCTTGAAACACTCCAAAGAGAAAGGAAAAATTGAAATCGCATCATATGACCCCTTTAAAATAATAATTATGAAAAATAATAAACAGTTCCTTAACCAAGTATGGTTCATTTTTTAAGAAATTAATTATTTTATTCTAGCAATAAATAAATAAATTTGTAATAATTTGTTGTAGGAGAAACCTTGAAGTATTTTTTTGTAAATAAATCATTTGCTAGATTAAAACAAAAATAATTTGTTTGTTTATTTATTTATTTATTGCAAATATAAAAAATGTGGTGGTCAGTAGGGGAAAAAATCCTTATTGTTTGAACTCTGTAAAACATTAATTATGAAAAATAATAACGTTTTTCAACCAAGTATGGTTAATTTTTTTAAGAAATGAAATATTTTATTCAGCAAAGACACATTGAATTGATTAGTATAATGAAGTGACAGCAAAGACATTTACAATGTTACAAAATATTTCTATTTCAGTTAAATGCTGTACTTTTGAACTTTCTAATGATCAAAGAATCGTGAAAAAAAAAATGTATTGCGGTTCCCTGTTTTCAACATTGATAATAAGAAATATAAGAATCTTTAGCAGCAAATCAGAATATTACAATGATCTCTGAAGGATCACGTGACGCTGACGACTCAAGTAATTATGCTGAAAATTCAGATTTGAAGACAGGAATAAATTACATTTTAATATATATTAAATTAGAATACATTATTCAAATTAAAATTTTAAAACATTAATAATTTTTCAAAATATTACTGTTTCTGTTGTATTTTTTTTTATCAAATAATTACAGCATCAGATTTTCACAAATATTTTTGAACGCTAGTGCATATGAACATAATTGTCTCTTATCACATTGCAGATGTAAAAGCACTGTAGAGGGAATGTGTTTTGCCATTCTTAATTTGTTTTAAGGAAACCAACAGACAAAGCAGTCCTAATACAGGTCACATATAGCTTGGTGCTAAAAAGAGTCTCAGCAATCTTGTGTATCTTCTATACCGTACTTCCTTTTTCAAAGTCCAGTTTCAGTCTGTATTATACTAAACAGGCCCAATATTGTCATGCCTGCTTGCCAACTATATGTATGCTTTTGATCTGAGGCACTGAAACCGTGAATACATACAGTCTATTGGAAATGTTTACACAGATCTCAAGTTACGGCCAGTACTGCTACTGAACAGCAACCTGTACAAAGCTCCCACAATAGAAAGCCTGTATTAAAGCATCCTGCACTGCTGATGGTTATTCACTCGGCTGGAAAGCACACTGAAAAGCTCTTTTGCCTTTGTTATAACCCAGCTACAGGGTCACACAGGTGATGCAAGATCGGACGGGGGAGAAAGATGGTCAACAAAGGATCCCTAGAGGGAGGGAATACAGGAGGAAAACGTGAGGAACCAGAGAAATGGCTTCTGATTTGACCCAAGAGCAGTTCACGTTTCCATCCTGGCCAGGGACTAATTATGTTCACACCCTCGAAAAACCAAGTGGCCGTGCACAGTTTTAAAGCCATTAACAATGCACAACGCTGCATTGATGATCATGTCCATGCCAGGGCTCAGACAGTCCACTGTGTACCTCTGAGAAGACAATGCTTATGGAGAACACTGTCGTCTGTTGTCCCGAACACAAGGGGCCGGGGAGCACAAACACACACTCTTTTGGTTATTTGCACAGCAGTTCCCATCATAGTGTGTGATGATATCACACAGCTGCTGCTGCTGAAAAACCAATAGAGATTAAAGAGATTATAAATTAAAAGAGCTGTATTGTTTAGGCATAAGTGGTAGAACTACAGCTGTCAGATTGTGACCGAGTCCGACAAAGGTTTGTTTAATTATAAAGTGTACGAGATGTTTTCATTGGATGAATTAATTCTTTCTTCACACTAAAATCAGATCCATTTGTCCAGGGGAGTCAAACATGGCATGTACAGAGATCATCAAATGTGCGAGTTTTAATAGTATATACAAGGTGCATCTAAAAAAAAAATGTTTGTGTAACTTATTTCAAAAAGTGAAACTTTCATATTTTCTACATTCATTACATGTAAAGTAAAACATTTCAAAAGTTTTTTTGTTTTAATTTTGATGATTAGAGCTTACAGCTCATGAAAGTCAAAAATCCAGTATCTCAAAATATTAGAATATTTCCTAAGATCAATCAAAAAAAAAAAAAAGGATTTGCAAAACAGAAAAGTTCAAGTTCTTTAAAGTATGTTCATTTATGCACTCAATACTTGGTACTTTCTCTTGACATATGGGGTTTAGGTCAGGCATGTTGGCTGGCCAATCAAGCACAGTAATATCATGGTCAGCAAACCACTTGGAAGTGGTTTTGGCACTGTGGGCAGGTGCTAAGTCCTGCTGGAAAAGGAAATCTGCATCTCCATAAAGCTTGTCAGCAGATGGAAGCATAAAGTACTCCAAAATCTCCTGGTAGATGGCTGCATTGAATTTGGACTTGATAAAACGCAATTGAGCCTTAATCCTCCTGGGCATGGAATTCACCAGAGCTGCACAGGTTGTTGCTGGGATCCTCTTCCACTCCTACATAATGACATCACAGAGCTGCTAGATGTTAGATACATGGCGCTTCTCCACCTTCCGTTTGAGGATGCCCCACAGGTGCTCAATAGGGTTTAGGTCTGGAGACATGCTTGGCCACTCCATAACCTTCACCTTCAGCTTTCTCAGCAAGGCAGTTGTCATCTTGGCGGTGTGTTTGGGGTCGTTATCATGTTGGAAAACTGCCGTTCGGCCCAGTTTCTGAAGGGAGGGCATCATGTTCTGCTTCAGAATGTCACAGTACATGCTGGAATCCATGTTTCCCTCAATGAACCGCAGCTCCCCAGTACCAGCAGCACTCATGCAGCCCCAGACCATGATGCTACCACCACCATGCTTGACTGTAGGCAAGACTCAATTTCCTTGGTACTCCTCACCAGGGTGTCGCCACACATGCTGGACACCACCTGAGCCAAACAAGTTTATCTTAGTCTCATCAGACCACAATGATGAATAGGACATGTGGCTTTGCATGGTTAAACGACATACAGCGGTTATCACTTAGGGTGTACTCACTTTTGTTGCCAGCCATTTTGACAATAATGGCTGTATGTTGAGTTATTTTCAGAGGACAGTAAATCTGTACTGCTATACAAGCAGCACATTGACTACTCTTAAAATATATCCAAGTTTCATTTTTATTGTATTGTCCCTTGAGAAGATATACTAAAATGGTTGCTGAAAAGTGAGGGGTGTACTCACTTTTGTGAGATACTGTGGATATATATATATATATATATTATTGCATGTATATATTTAAGAAAAATATGTTGTTTATATATTAAATATATAGTATAAAATATAATAAAATAAATATATAAATGTATATACATGTACATTTTTTTTCAAAATATATACTGTATGTGTGTGTATTTATATATATATATATATATATATATATATATAAAATTACATCAATTTGTGGTTGGTAATATTTTTTTAAAATTTTTGAAGGAAGTCTCTTATGCTTAAAAAGGGTCAATTACAGTAAAAACAGAAATATTACTGCAATTTAAAACAACTGTTTTCTATTTAAATATACTTCGAAATAGAATTTATTTCTGTGATGCAAAGCTGAATTTTCAGCATCATTACTCCAGTCTTAAGTATCACATGAACCTTCAGACAGAAACCTTTCTAATATGCTGATTTGCATTTGCTTAATATTTTTATGGAAACCAGGATACTTTTTTTTTTCATTAATGAATGTAAAGTTCAAAAGAACAGTATTCATTTATATAAATTTTGTAACAATGTAAAAGTCTTGCCACTTTTGATCAATTCAACTTCGTTTCAAAAACCAACTCTGTGAATAAAAGCTGATAAAAACCAAACCAGCTTGATTAGAGAGTAAACATTTGCATCTCTAACTACCACAGAGCTATATGTACACAAAAGAGACTGACATTTAAATATATAAAACAAGACTGATATGAGGCATTTACACTCTTATAAAATAAAGGTTCATTACTGGCATCTATGGTTTTATGAAGAACCTTTCAAATCCATGGAATATAACCACACACAAGTTTATTTTGTGCAAAAGGGCTTGTTAGATTTAATAAACAGTTCTTATGAGAACCGTTCACTGAAAGGTTCTTTGGGGAACCAAAAATGGTTCTTCTTGGGCATCACTGTGAAAATCCCATTTTAAATGTTTATTTTTAAGAGTGCATGGGAGTATATTTATCAAGTTCCCATTACCTTCCGTTGACGTTGACAGTTCAAAACGCAATTTTCGAAGTCACTGAATATGTTTTATAACAAATGTGCTTAAATCGATCTATCTATCTATCTGATAAAAGAATAACATTAAACACAAATCAGCATCCTTGTCAACCGCTATATTTTGTGATGCTCTAAAGATGCTTCAAACCGCTCTCTGTAACACAGGCCCAAACCCTAAAGTCTGCTCAGAGCCAAACATGGCCCAGTGTCCCTTTCCAGAATCTGGCACCGCTGCCACTGCATATTTGCGGCGCTAGGGGAGAAACCAAAAAGGCAGTGCCAGCAGACTCTGTAGAGTGCCGAGCATTCAGAAGTGTACCCAATAAAAACACATCTGGTTTGAAAATGCACAGACTGTGCGCTGGCCCTCGATGCATGCAGCAGGAACAAAAGCTGTAATACAAAAGCAACTGCTTCGGGATAAAATTTATGGCACGATACGAAGATGTTAATCAGTTAGTGGGACACTTTGAATCTAATTTCTGTGCCTGACGTTGCTATGTTCCTACAGGACCATTTGTGTTTCCAAGATCTGTGTCTTAAAACTGCGCAAAGCTCCAAAATCTCCGGTTTGTGCTGATTGTAAAGATGGTGATTTTTAGTTGCAGTACAGCGCAATGAAGTCGCTTGGCCGACGGCCCGTTTCCATCATTCTCTCCAGGCTGAGAGCCAAAGGAAACCGTTAGGATTTGAGCAGCGGCTCCCAGACTGTCACCAAACTGAGCTGCCCCTCGACTCCACATGCATGTGCAAACACACGCACACACTCATGCACAAACTCCATTTACAGTCAAAACATTGTATCTGAGATTTCCCAGAGGCATTTCTCCAATCCAACTGCCATCCAGTCTTCAGGATTCATTAAGAACGGAAGGCGCTCAAAACCATCTAGAGAAATGCACTGAATGAAAAATGTACTAGGATCAGTCAATGGCACTTGCAAAATATTTTACTTCTAAAATACACTACAGTTCAAAAGTTTGGGGTCAGAATGATTTTATTTTAAATAAATGAATACTTGTATACATTAAACTGATGACATAAAAGACTTAAAAAACATTCTACTTCAAATAAATGCTGTTTTTTATTTCCATTTTCCAAAGAATTCTGGGGGGGGAAACGTATCACAGTTTCCACAAAAATATTAAGCAGCACAACTGTTTTCAACTTTTATAATAATAATAGTTTCTTGCACAGCAAATCAGCATATTAGAATGATTTCTGAAGGATCATGTGACACTGAAGACTGGAGTAATGATGCTGAAAATTCAGCTTCACATCACAGAAATAAATTACATTTTAAAATATATTAAAATCTAAAACACTTATTTTAAATTGTAAATATATTTTATAATATTACTGTATATTATTTTTTTTCAATTAAACACAGCCTTGGAGAACGCAAGAGACTTCTTTAAAAACATTAAATACATTTTACCAACCCCACACTTTTGAATTGTAGTGTATGAAGTTTAAGTGAAAAGCCAAAATCAAAAAAAAAATCAAAAAATTTTTGTGGAGTGGTAGCTAATCCATCAGAAATTAATCTGACTGTAAAAATGGACAAAAACATTGAAAAATAAAAGATACTGATCACCTGAAAAGTTTCAGAGTCATTTTTACAAAGCCAAGTATAGCACTTCTATGGAATAATGTGCCATGTTGAATCATTTATAAAAACCTATGAATTCTGTTTATTGACTTCAAATGCACTGATTCAACTGTACTGAATCAAATGTCTCAGTGACTCTATGACCACAGGCATTCAAATTCAATAGAGGAAAATGAGTCATGAATTGCCATATGAGAGAACCTCTGAGATGCACAAAAGCTTAATGGCACTGAACACATAGTTCAATAGTTATTGAGAGCTTAAGGATTTGAGGTTTGGAAGAAATGACATCTGTGCTAATGACTGTTAAGACCGATCAAGCCACACGTCTTCTTCACTGTATGATCAAGCTGGCAGATCAGCGCTTCGGGGGGTTTGTCTGTTGAACCACATTAAACAGCTGAGAACAAGCTGCACCTTGTGTGTGCTCACACATAAACACACACAGTTTTAAGTCTGGCATGATGTGTGGATGTCAGATGTCTCAAGCCAACAAAAGAACTATGAATCAACAAATAAGACATGACAGCGTTTGGACGCTCAGAAAGAACAGCTGACCGCAAACGCCACAGACATGGCCATTTTCAGGAACAGATGCTCTCTATGAACAGAAACTTCACCTTAGTTGGGAAAAACTTGGAACACCACTGCAAGCTATCAATAATATTTGCATATATAGGAAAGACCACAAATGAGATATCAGTTGCAATCTGTTCTGAAACTCTTGATGTCTAGAAGAAATAACTGAGATATTATAAATGTCTCAAACTGTGCGATGTCTGCAATAAAACGTCAGAAATTTCAACATGAAACATTTTTCACCACAGACTTCCATCAATGTATCTGACAAGCGATGCTGTCCACATTCATTTTATAACTCAAAGTTCAAACTTATACAAAAAGTTCAGACTTAAGTGAAGCATAACTGAGTTTTATAAAAATGTTTTATATAAATAAATGTTTTTGCTATTTTATGATATTAAAAAGTCATTTTACATACATACAGTATATAAATATTTTTTTGCTATTTTATGCCACAAAAAAAAACATCTATCT